ATAGAAGGGTGAGGGGAGATCTGATACAGACTTTCAAATTTGTAAGAGGTTTATCAGGACTCAACATAGACGACTTGTTTACGATTTCTCGTGCTCAGAACACGGGAGGTCGTGGCTATAAACTTCAGCAGAACCACGTCAGATGGAAATACGGGCAAACTTCTTCTCACAAAGGGTCATACCTATGTGGAACGGGTTACCTGCAGAAGTGGTCAACTGTACCAATGTTAACGCCTTCAAGGTGGCCCTGGACGCGTGTTGGTCAGTAACGTTCCCCGAAGTTAGTATTTAGAGTGGGAACATAAGGAATATATTCTACTTGACTGTTAGAATTATTCTAAAACTGACTGTCCTGTCACATGTGATCTGTGTATACGAACACATGTGTACCTGGAGTCTCTAACCAATCAGGCGAGGAGATATCCTTGTTTGCTTTCCTCCCTTTCAGCATACCCCCAAAGAGTCAACGTCCTGGCAACGGGGCTAAATTGAGCGAATCATGAACATCAAATCAACTGTACGCAGTGTTAAAAGCTACTACCATCCGCCAAAAACACCACGAATTGGACGCTCAATTGGCAAGATCCATATTCGTCCTGTGTAAACAATACAAAACAAAACTGAACTGAACTGACCTGAATACGTCACCTTCAAGGTCACTATTTAAGCGGTGCATTTGTAGGTGGTTTCGTTGATAGCAATGTCAGTCCCCCAGCGGATGAAAGTGCAGAATGAGCGAGCTCATGGCAACGTAAAGAATCGCGGGAAGGTTCCTAAATCCCTGGTATGCGTGTTGTTTTGTTTATTCAGTTTACCTCATTAAAGAAGTCTACGGATTCCCAAACTAATATGAACGCATGGATTCTGGGGTTGGTTGTTTTCGTCGTGTGTGGCTCAGGTATGTTCTAATTAGACCACATCAATCATTCTTCAGCTGTTTTCGAAATAATTCAACACATCCGGATGGCTTTCTGATTTTTATTTCTCTTGGGATATGGAGTCATCATGTCGCTTGGTTTGTGATATATTGTATTTGACTATTCCCTCAAAATTTGCCTTCTGATTTTGAAAACGAGGGATTATTCTTTGAACTGGCACTCATCCGCAGACTTTAGGATAGGGTTTGAAAAGCTGCGTTCGTAGGAGAATTACGAAACCTTTCTTGGCAGTATACAAGTTTATGAAATTCGTAATTGCTCATGGTCCGACGGATATATAAAAATATTTGTCTAAATACAATATTTCTTTTAGGTGATTGCTGTAGGCTCTGTGTTTCTGAATACCTTATCGTTGTTTGTTGACCAATATTTATCGATAAAACAGATATACTTCTGAGACATGGCAATTAAATCCAGCACTGCTTTTGACTTTAGCCCCCTGTTTATCTTGTTAACAAACCATCAATCTGAGAAAGGCAAGAGGTCAGCTCTTTCGAAGAACGCAGATACAAGAGTGGAGAGATGTTTGTTTCTATTGTGGAACCCGGTCTGTCAACACAATCAGTAAATTTCGTCAACCAGGTTATAGCCGCTTTCCTTCAACAGAAGATTTACCTAGCTGGTAGGTGGTAATGAATAGTACTTCTCAAACAAACTGCACACAGTTCATGAGATATTTCAAGACGATTCATCGACGGCGGAATAGATCTGCGGAAACTTTTGACCACATTGAGGAGAAAGCAAGAGTCAGATTACTGAATCCTGTCTCAGTTCACTGGTGCAGTTTAAAAAAAGTAAAAATGGCGCGTTGAACCATTTGTGTAGCAGTTTTCTTTTGTTCACGCCTCAAGTTCAGTTCAGTTTGCACAGGACAGAAAATAGTCCCGGCCGATCGAGCGTCCAGAATTCCTTCGGTGGTATGCAGTCAAGTTTAGCATCCACCTTCGTGAATGAGGAAATGGGAAAGATACCTCGTCTCTTCTCCGAGGGCAGAGATTATCATACGTGAGCTTTAATCTGCCAGGTTGCCTTCCACGGAGCAAAACAAAAGCGTGTAACTCGAGCGCCCCGTTCTTGCTCTTAGTTTTCTTAACTCGATCGATGGATGCTCGGACCTCCACTTCGGGAACCAGTTTGGGCCACCGTTCGTCCAAGACTGTCTTGAGTGCTAACAGTGTGCAGTTCCATTCGCTCCACGGGTAGCCTGTTTCATATGTTGACTGCTCTGTTACTGAAGAAGTGTGATTGGTCGACCAGTCTGAACCGGGTCTTAGCTAGCTTCATTTCGTGCCCCTTTGTTC